AGTATAATTGGATTGTTTGTAACACAAAGGATTAAAGGTTGAGGGGATGGATACCCCATTTTCCATGATGCAATTACTACTCATTGCATGCCTGTGTCAAAACTTCTCATGTACCTCATGCATATTAGACTTACTATGGATCTCCAAAAAGTAAAAATTAAACATTTTAAACATAGATATTGAGTTACACAAGTAAAATTCCTATTATTTTTTGCAAATCTGTGTTATGGAAACGATGTTCATGCCTGCTCAGAAGCTAAATGAATGCATACAAAACTTAATACAAGCAATGAACTGGCTAACATTTTGAAGATCAGTGACAAATTTATATAGACTATTAGAAATAGGTCAGGCACGATGGCTCACACCTGTATTCCCAGCACTTTGGGAGGCTGAGGCGGGTGGATTACCTGAGGTCAGGGGTTTGAGACCACCCTCACCAACATGGTACAACCCCGTCTCTACTAAAAATACAATAATTAGCCGGGTGTGGTGGTGCAAGGCTGTAATCCCAGCTACTTGGGAGGCTGAGGGAGGAGAATAGCTTGAACCTGGGAGGCAGAGTTTGCAGTGAGCTGAGATTGTGCCATTGCACTCCAGCCTGGGCAACAAGAGTGAAACTCTGTCTCAAAAAAAAGAGAAAAAAAGAAAAAGAAATACTGGTTGAGGTAGGTATATATCTTAAAATCCAAGATTATACATATGCAAATATATTTACATTTTTATATGCAAATATATCACAGGATATATTCGAAAGCCGTTTTGAAAAGAAGTGTTGGCTTATCTTTGAAATAAGGTTATTATTACTATTCTGAGACAAGGTCTCACTCTGTCACCCAGGCTGGAGTACAGCGGCACAATCACAGCTCACTGAAGCCTTAACCTCCCTGGGCTCAAGTGATCCTCCCACTTCAGCCACCTGAGTAGCTGGAGCTACAGGAACACGCCACCACACCTGGTTAATTTTTTTAATTTTTGTAGAAACAGAGTCTTGCTATGTTGCCCAGGCTGGTAGCAAACTCCTAGGTTCAGCTATCCTCCCGCCTTAGCCTCCCAAAGTGCTTGGGTTACAGGTGTGAATCACCATGCCTGGCTGAAATAAGATAATTATACAATTTTTATCAGCTATTGTCTTGTTTATATGCTCCAGAGTAACACTATCCAATAGAACTTTCTGTGGTGAGAGAAGTATTCGCTCTCTGCATTGTCCAGTAGGGGCATCCCTGGCTACCTGTGGGAACTGAGCCCTCCAAATGGTGGCCAGCATGACTAAGAAACTCAATTCTTAACTTTTTAAAATTTAGGCCGGGCATGGTGGCTCATGCCTGTAATCCCAGCACTTTGGGGGACTGAGGTGGGTGGATCACCTGAGGTCAGCAGTTTGAGACCAGCCTGGTCAACAGGCTGAAACCCTGTCTCTACTAAAAATACAAAAATTAGCTGGGCACAGTGGCGAACGCCTGCAATCCTAGTTACTTGGGAGGCTGAGGCAGGAGAATCACTTGAATATTGCAGTGAGCCGAGATCACACCACCGCACTCTGGCCCTGGCGACGAGAGCAAAACTCCATCTCAAAAAAAAAAAAAAAAATCAAACTAATTTAAATACAAAACAGCCCTGTGTGGCCAAGGTCACCTAACTGGGAGCACATCGCATCTCAGAGGAGTAAATGTTTTCCTTGCTTCACCAACACCCTACCTCTTTTTTTTTTTTTTTTGGAATGCAGTCTCGCACGGTTACCTGAGCTGGGGTGCAGTGGTGCGATCTCGGTTCACTGCAACCTCCGCCTCCCAGGTTCAAGTGATTCTCCTGCCTCAGCCACTCAAATAGCTGGGACTACAGGCGTGTGCCACCACACCTGGCTATTTTTTGTATTTTTTAGTAGAGATGGGGTTTCATCACATTGGTCAGGCTGGTCTCGAACTCCTGACCTTGTGATCTGCCCGCCTCGGCCTCCCAAAGTGCTGGGATTACAGGCTTGAGCCACCGCGCCTGGCCCACCCTCCATCTTTACAACTCTGCTCAAAGGCCATCTCGGGACCCCACAGTAGCAGCACATACTCCGTGCATAGTGCTTCAACAGAGCTTTCTGCATTTCTCTGTCTTAGAACTTAGCCACTAAACAGAAACTGTACAAGTGTCAACCTCCCCTGGCAGGTAATCTGTAATCTACACAAAGATAGGACAGTGTTTCATTCATCTTTGTCGCCTCAGCATCCAGCAAATCATGTTTGGATCAGTACCTGATCCATTATGGGTCCTCATTTCATTTTTATGAAATGAATAAACAGAAAGAGGCTCTGGGCAGCTGATGAAATAGGGAAGTTCTAAATGAAAATTTAACAATGATGGAAACCTATTCTTTTGTCTGCTATTTATTTTCTTATTCATACTCATAAAAGCCATTTCAGCCTTCTAGAAATCCTAGCTAAGTCATATAGATAGCATTTCTAATAATGTAATTTCAAGGGCATCTGATCAAGTCAGTCACATGGCACCCTCACGATTTACAGCTGCAACTCATCTGCTCACTCACCTTCAAACAGAAACCACTGGTTAGGAAGCCTCAGAATGAAAGCTTCATTGTGCGGCAAACTTAAAAACAACACAAAACATAGTAGACTTACCATCACCAACATCAAAGTCCTTGAAAGCCAGTTCTGAACCTGAATCATCAAGAAGGATTTCACCATTCAGTGTGAACATCATGGTGTGTTCGTTCATGTCAACCATACAGCCCACGACATCGCCTGCTTGCCAAGAGCGCCCATAGTGTTCGTTGCCCTGATGCCACCGCTGGGCCTACACAGAGGACAGAAAAGTCCCTTGTCACAGACTAAGACAGGAAAATAGCACCCACCCACCACTCTGTCACTACTTAACAGCAGCGCCTTCTATTAACACAACAGCAGGAGAAAGTGCAGCTGGCATATCTGTCTACTGCAATGTCCTAAGCAAAATGGAACTGTCTGGGAATTCTAAATTCCTACCTAATATTAACATGGTATATTATTGAATCTTGAAAAAAAAAATCCAAAAGCTATTTCATGATTTTGAGAGCCCATTATTTTAAAAATCTAATCTCACGTACTTTCTGCTGAAAGAAAACTTATATGCCTTTAGAATATATTATTTTTCTGCGACAATGAATGTTTCCCAGAATATGGTTTGTTTTTCTCTACTCCCACAAATACAAATAATTATGAGCTAGGGAATCAAGCTGGGCATCTGTCATTGAAAATGATAGTGTAATTTTCATCTATTTCAAAATAAAATTTCATTCCTTAGAACTGATGGCACAGATATTTCAACAAAATGGAAATCTAGAAGCATTTCAGTGACATACTAAAAGTAAAAATGCTTCAAATCAAACCTAAAAATATCCTTAGGATATCTGCTGAAGTAACAAGCCAAAAATTGAATACAGATGCCAACCTTTTCTTCTATATACATAAAGTGAAATCTCATATTGTAAGTACATTTGAAACACAGTTTTGATAAATGTGACTTTTGGATCTACAAGCATATTCCATTGATTTATAGGTACACCTGAGTTATGTGAATTATTTTGTCAGAT